TCTCTTCTCTTCTCTTCTCTTCTCTTCTCTTCTCTTCTCTTCTCTTCCATTCCATTCCATTCCATTCTATTCCAAATTCTATCCCTATTCCTATTCTCTGTTGGAGAAACTATGGATGGCATAGAAATTTGGGTGACAGTACCCTAACAACAAGATCATAAGACCCTGGCTGTGGTAGAACTGATTATTCCGCAACCAAGCAGTTAATTGATTTACTCTTTTCATTCACCCATGAATTGATTGTTGTCTGGCCCTTCTAAGAGCCCAGTCAATAGTTCTCTATTTTTTTAACCATGTCTGTCCTCTGAAAATAGATTGGGAAAAATCTTGATTAGCCCTCGGCCATCTACCATTTTTATTGTTGATTAGGGATTTCAGCACAAGTCTTCCTGATCCAACTCCAACACTCCAGCAGTTTTGAGTCTAGCCACAACATACTGCAAAACGCTCCCTTGGCTGATATGGAAAGTATACCATCTGTCTGCTCTATAAAGGGAGCTCCAGTGAAAGTCAGCAACTCCTAAGGTGCGGCTGGATGCAGAGTCAGTTTGGAATCAAAAGGAGCTGGGTTGAAATTCCCCATTTGCTAGAAAATGCAGCCAGTGTGTTCTCTCTCTTTCTCTCTCTCCCTCCCTGTCCCTCCCTTTCTTTCTCTCCCTCTCCCTTCCCTCTTTCTCTCCCTCTCTCTCTCCCTCCTTCTCTGTCTCTGTTCCTCCTCTTCCTCATCAGCCACCTCCAAACCTGGGGGCTGTTGACTCTCCATCTGAGGGCTGACAGATGGCCCAGGCTCCGTCTTTGTCTCTCTTCCTCTGTCAGCTCCATTCCCTCTTCCCCCTCTGAGCTCTCAGGATACCCTGATGCTAACTTCCCCCTCCTCCTCCCCCTCCTCTGATTCAGCTGCTGGAGGGTTGGCTGACAGGCCACCACAACAACCCCAGGGCGACTGGTGTCTTTTAACTTGCAATGTATTTTATTCTTGTTTTTAATCTGACTCTTTCTTGAGGGGGGGGGGGGTATTTTATTTTATATGGGTTTTATGTTTTAATTATATACCACTCAGAGTCACACTGTGAATGAAACTGGCGATCTCTACATTCAACAAACCAACAAATGAATAAAAAAAAATATCCAAATAGAGGTTGAATAGATGCCTATCGGAGAAGATTTAATTTGAACGCTTGACCTCCTCCAATTTTATTATTTAAAATTCCAGAATTCCACTCTCCTGAAATAAGATGATAAATGCTGTTCGTTCTCTCCTTTCTTCCAGTCTTTATATATACACAGTTACAAGAGTGACAGACATCAATGTTTCATAATCAAGCAATAGAGCTTCCTCTTCTGTCGTTCACCTCCTTCTTTTATGCATTTCTATCTCACAGGCCATAAAACCCTGGCCTGGCTTTAGAAAAACAGTACTTTTAGCTAGATAATCATTTCATTTATGCATAAAAGATTACATTCTTTTTTTAAAAAAAAAAAATGAGCCGCTAAGGGAAGAAAGCAGAAACATCATAAACTTGCTTTTCTCGAAGACAGTCACTTCACATATGACCCCCTCCTCCAGCTTTGCTGTTTTAAAGTCAGAAAGTGGCACTTCAGAACTCAAGATTTAAAGCTTCCTTTTTATTCCCCCACACTAAAAAGTAATGAAAGCCTTTTATTATGCAGAGCCCATAAACATATTTGGAATCAGTTCAAACGTTCAATGTCTTGAAATGTCACCGCTAACTCAACATAAAAGAATTTTATCAACTGAAATCCACTAGAAAAGTTTCAGTGCCCCAATATTTATTGACCGGTCACCATTAAAAAAAAAACATGACTTATTTTTTTATCTTTATGATTTTACTGGTTTGTAAATTGCACTCTCTGCCTAACAGAAGCAGAGCTTTGAAAGAAAAATATCAGCCCAATATTAAAGAAAAGAAGGTGAGTGTGGCATTAAAATTAAAGAGCAATCAAACATTATGTGGGACTAAAAACATGATTTCCAGAATGAACATTTCAGTTATTGTCTGAAGCAAAGCTAAGAAGGAATAATTTTTTCTTCCTGGTCAGGAGGGGTACTGTTGGAGTACTTTTACCAAATTGGGAAAGAAGAAATGGAGGTAGTGAAAGTTTTTATTTTCCTGGGCTTTAAGATCACTGCAGATGGGGACTACAGCCAAGAAATTAAAAGACGCTGGATCCTGGGGAGGAAAGCTATGGCAAAGCTAGACAGCATACTAAAAGGCAGAGACATCACCCTGCCAACAAAAATATGTATAGTCAAGACTATGTTTTTTCCCAGTTGCAATGTATGGCTGTGAAAATTGGACCATAAGGAAGGGTAAGCGTCAAAGAATTTAGGCCTTTGAACTATGGTGCTGCAGAAGATTCCTGCAAGTCCCTTGGACTGCAAGGCAATCAAACTGGTCAGTCCTAGAGGAGATCAATCCTGAAGGCCAGATCCTGGAGATGAAACTCTAAATACTTTGGCCACCTAATGAGACGGAAGGACTCACTGGAGAGGAGCCTAATGCTGGGAAAGATGAAGGGCAAAAGAAGAAGAAGGGGACGTCAGAGAAGGATGGAATCACTGAAGCAACCTGCGTGAGCTTAAATGGACTCCAGAGGATGGTAGAGGACAGGAAGGGTGGTCACAGAGAAAGGGGCATCAATGTATCCTCCTTAGCATCTGAGGGCAGGGCAAGAAGCAACAGGTCGAACCTCATCAAAAGGAGACCCACCCTGGCAATAAGGAGGGATTTCCTGATAGAGAGAATGGTCAATCAATAAAAGAGAGTTCTATCACTAGAGGTTTTGAAGAGAAGATTGGCCAACTATTTGTCCGGAATGTATAAGGACTCTTGCTGAGCATGGGGGCCCATGCAGTTAGGATGCTGGTTTGGAGATTAGCAAGCCCACGTTCAAGACCCAAGTGCTGCTGTGTGGGAGAGTGAGCGCCTGTCCTTCACTCCCAACTCCTGCTGGGGACATAAAAGGAGCTTTCCAACTGGGTATTCACAGGGCAACGGTGACTACCCCAGCTAATTCTCTCAAGCCAGAAGCACCGAGGGGCTTTTGAGATGAGTGCGATGTGAAGAATCCTGCCTTGGGCAAAGGATTTGACTGAAGGTCCCTTCCAGCCCTAAGATTCTATCACTCTAAGAAAGGCCCTTTGAAAAGCCACATCAGCAGGTTATTGCAACACTGCTGGGGGGAAAAAAATAGGAGCTAGACAATGATGCAATTTTCTTTGCTTGACAACCCTCCAACAACAGCCAGACCTTGCAAATCATTTGTAGGCGCAGCGCCGTGAACAATATGTCACAGTTGCTTAAATTTTAAAAATACAATGCAATACAAATTAATAGCAATAGCTAGAGCTTCCAACTTTAAGGAAGGAGAAAGAGGGACAACCAGATAATGCAATTTCTTGCTCTTCTTGAAGCAGCTCAGAATCCAAGATCTTATCTGAGATTTCAGAGGGGTGAGGGGAAAAGATAGGGCTTCTCCCTCTGTAACAGATCATACCTCTTATCCTGGGTTAGATCAACCCCCAATTGTCATTCTGTTTGTCAAACACATCTAATCCCAGATAGCATGGGAACCACTTCAAATTAATCAAGAAGACTCTTCTTTTGTATGCTGCCTTTATTGTTTTTATAAACAAGTCAAGGCAGCAAATATATCTTTTATACTTTTTCCTCCTCCTATTTTCCTCACAACAACCGCTCTGTGAGGTGGGTTGGACTGAGAAAGAGGGACTGGCCCAAAATTACTTTCAACCTAAAATGGGATTAGAACTCATGGTGTAAGTCACCCAGCCAATTTTCATGCCTAAATTAGAAGTTATGGTCTCTTAGTTTCTTCTCTGGAGACTTCACCAGTAGACCAAACTGGTTCTATTCTACTATTGAAGTTTCCAAGTGGATCTTGCTGCTTCTCTCACTGGTTCTTTCTCACCTCTACCCCTCCTTATCTCTCCTGTTTCAGATGCTACAGATTCAGGCGCTCTTAGCTCATTGCTTTTTCCTCTTGGCTTTTCACTGCTTAACTTCCAAGTATATAGCTTAAAGGGAAAAAAAATGTCCAAACTTCACTATCTCTTTTATTTTCTCTCTCTTCTTTCACCCAGCTTCAAATCACAAGTAAAACTTTGCTTTCCTATTTTCCCAGATACAGTCATTTTTCCACATGCCAGTGAGGTCCTTTTATTAAAAGAACTCCATCAGTCTATATGACGGAAGGAAAGGGAGGGGAGGAAAAGGAAGGGAGGGAAGGAGAGGGAAGGGAAGAACTTCAAGACTTTCCTTCCCCCATGGATGCAAACCTTTTCTACAACCTTCCTGAGTGGTTATAAGCATGTTAAGTAGCATGATAGAGTCAGGAGAATCTCTACAGATTACATTAATTTTGTGGTTATTTTTGTACCATATCATTTATTTGCTATATATCCTGCTATCTTTATGTTGCTCATAGTTGTGAAGTGCCCAGAATAGGTTGGCCAGATTCCCAATTGAATTAAGAACAACCTAAGAGAATGAATTAAAGTCTATCAGCACAATGATCTAGAAATGCTCAGCTAAATAGGATATCTACTGCTGTTTAATAGTGTCCTGAAGGGTTGAGTCAACTGTCTCAGGAAATAGCAGAATGCTACTAAGAACATCAGAAGGACCAACTAAGTTACATATTGCTAACTAGCTGATCTACTACAACTGTTTCTTCCCCCCACTCCACCCCAAACAGCGAAACCCAGATTGGAAGAAATCCAGATTTTTTAACTCCATCTGTCATGCACCTGATGGAGTCGGACTCTGAGGGAGAAGAGGAACAGCGACAGGGAGTGGAAGCGTGGTTCCGGAGGCCCATCCCCTATCCATCCTAGGGCATGCAGGGAGGAGAGGATAAGGGAGAGACGTAGTCTACTCAGGAGGAGAGGGCCTTTATCCTCTTCATGGGCTGCAGCTGTGACAACTGAATAAGAGTACGGACCTGCGTACGGGTGAACGCTGGAAACAAAGCGTGGAAATATCTCTAGTTTATGATTCCCCTCTGAGTTTGGTGTCCTTCCCAGTGTGTGTTATCTGTGGATGTCCACCAGTCCTTATCTTGCCTGGTTTATGTTGTTTTTTTCCTCCTTCTTGTAACTGTTTGTGTGGGAGTTTCCCTTAAGAATATTCAGAGCTTGGAAGCAAAGAGAAGGAATAAAAGGGGCTTCACCTGTTTTCTGTGACTGTGTTTGTTTTGTCTGGGTCATCACACCATCCATGAAAAATCTTCTATGCCACCATACAATACAGGACTTACTTTAAAAAGAACAGATTTGACATCTTCAAATTTCAGAAGAGGCAAGGCACTCTTGACAAGGTGAGAAATAATTGTCAAGAAATGTTCTCTTAAAAAAATCTACAACCCCTTTTACTTTTGTCCTAATCTGCCCCAAAGTGAAGCAGCTGCAGTTGTTTTGATATTGTCTCATTATTGCCCGAGGACATTTTTTTTTCCAAAGCTGCGTCTTGAAATTCAAAGGAAGAGTCTCTTGTGTCTCAAAGCAGAGACTCCAATTGAGCTCTGCTTTTCTTGAAACACCAGTCAGAATCAAATCAGGGTTGATTTCACATCGTCCTAATAAACACAATTGCTTGTTGACTGCGGAGGAGCTTTGGCAAATGGCACATCATTGGTAGCTGGAGGAAAAAGTCAGCTCTTCTCTAGAATTACCTTCTACAATGCCGTAGGAAGCTCTTTATCTCCTTCATCGTGTTATCATGCCTATGAGCCATGCTGGCACAGAGGTTAGAATGCAGTACTGCAAGCTACTTCTGACTGCTGGCTGCAGTCCGGCAGTTCAATTCCCACTGCCTCAAGGTTGACTCAGCCTTCCATCCTTCTGTGTAAAATGAGGACCCAGATTGTTGGGGGCAATAGGCTGACTCTGTAAACCGCTTAGGGAGGAGTGAAAAGCACTGTGAAGTGGTATATAAGTCTGAGTGCTATTGCACTCAGACTCCTTCCTTCCTTCCTTCCTTCCTTCCTTCCTTCCTTCCTTCCTTCCTTCCTTCCTTCCTTCCTTCCCTCCCAGTGGTTAGAATGCAGTACTGCAAGCTACTTCTGCTGACTGCTGGCTGGAGACCGGCAGTTCGATCCTGACCGGCTCAAGGTTGACTCAGTTTTCCACCCTTCCAAGGTGGGTTAAATTGGCACCCAGATTGTTGGGGGCAAGAGGCCAACTCTGTAAACCACTGTGAAGTGGTATATAAGTCTAAGAGCTATCACTATTGCTATTAACACATGATTTTCCACATGCAAGCTTGACTGAGAAATGATCATTTGTTGGTGCAGATGCTGAACTAAGCACATTCCAAGAACAAGCTCCGAGATTCTGCTATCTGAAAAGTAATCCACTGCTACAACAATCAATACAAATACAAGCTTTAGATCATCTTGTTTTCCTGAGCTTGCTTTTCTTGGCATAACCCGGGGTCGATGTCCAATTCCCTACTGCCTTTGATTCAGATATTTCCCCATTTTTCACCTTGGAGAGTTCCCAAAGAACTGCAAAGTCATGTCAAGCAAGAAACAACAACAACAACAAAAGATGGAAGGAAAACCTCCTATTTTTGAGGTGGCTTAACTGACATTGTCCCTTCTTTAAGCAAGATGAATATTAATTAATTGCCCCACCCCCCCCCCCCCCCCAAAAAAAAAGAAGAAAAAAAAAAGAAAAATGGCAGAGTGTTTAGACTTTTATGTTGCAAGGAGTCCCCCCAAGAGAAGCAGCCTGTTTGGTTCTCAGAATGGCATGAAACTCAGAGCCAAAGTCAACATTTACCTTTAGGAATTAGCTATAAAGTCAGAAGACCCAAGAGAGTATCACCACTGTAACCTTAATGTAATCGTGCACACCATATCTTGAAAGTGCAAATCGCACACACAAATAAAGGATCGGTATAGTGCTCTAATTAACTTGCACGCCCTCTGATAAGGGATGCTTTATTATCTCTGGGAACAAATAACATTTGTCTAAGGCCTTAGACACTCTTGTCTTCTGATGTCTTCTGTTTCATTTAATGATTTTGTGGCAGCATTGCCATGGCAATTTCCAGTTAAGGCACCAATATTTTATTCTAGTCTGTAGGTACCCCAAACCCCTCTGGACTGTTTTTGCTGTGACTTGAAATGCCTGATACTTTTTAACTCCTAATCAATATCCATTTATGTCTAACAGTCCTGTTTTCAAGATCCATGTCTCTTTTACCTATATTACAGCTCTTGCTCAGCTTTCAAATCATACCTCGCTGGGCTTAAGGGCACTTCAAGTGGTATGGCAACCATCAAAGGGTTTTTTTTTTTTTAATTACTTGCGGCCAGGGGTGGGATACGACAGGGTTAACTACCAGTTCAGGATTTATGAGCTTCCCTGCAGGCTGCGAGCTGCGTGCCTGTAAATCAGCAGCAGCAGCTGCCTGCAGAGAAGCAGGCTTTGAAACAGCCCTCTTTTCCTGTTTTTCTAACTGCAGCTGTGCCTCGTTCGGCAGCTGAAGTTGAAAAATCAGGAAATAAAGATCAGGTAAGAGCCCGGGTGGGCGGGTGGGCAAAAACATCAGCAGAAATAGAACCGGGTCTGTGTTTGCTGTTCTTCAGAGCTACCAGTTCTACAGAGGTGGACAGAACCGGTAGAAACCCACCCCTGCTTGCGGCCACACATTCACCAGCGATCATGAATGCTTAATCAAGATAGCAGTTTATAAATATATTTTTGTAGAGAGAAAAAGGGGGAAAAAACCCTAAATGATTAACAATACATGCCCACATCTAAAATTGTGGAACAGGCTAGGTCTAATGTTAATGGAAAGATCTCCTCCCAAAGCACTTTCATGTGACATGCGGAAATCCAATTTTCTGAGAAAGGCAGAAATACTGTATATAGCCAACTTTGGAGGGTGGGTGGGTAGATACAATCTTCACTGACTGTCGGGAGCCCCAGGAATCAAGAAAGACATGAGGAGTTACTTCTGAGTAGTTTACTTTATTGTTCCTGACCTATAGACAAAATCTCGCCAAACTAAAGCAACTATTTGCAACACTACAGATATACTCTGAGAACTGTTAGAAAGGAACCATCTCAACCCTCTTCCTCCTTACCAAATTTTCTGTGCTTCGCTGTCTCTTCGCCCTATGCAATGCAGCCTGTGCATCCTGGGAATCGAGACGTCAATCCACCACAGTAAAATGCCAAAGGCTACAGACAAATGTGAGCACGGGCGAGAAATAAATGGTCAGAGCTAAAGGGGGAAGACTGGACACGGGTAGAGCAAAACAGGCAGGATATGGATCAGAGGTAGGGAACTTCTGATTCAACTGGATAACTTCCTGTTTATATAATCAACAGGGATGGGTACTGGATGCTGTAGTTCAGTCACATTGAAATGCCCAGATTGCTCTCTCCCAGTATATATTAATATTTCATAAATTAAATGTAGGAATAATTAAAATAAATATTCTTCCCTTGGCAGGAATCCATCCAGATGTCTCCAAGATACATTCATACTTATTTTTTTTCCATTACGCCTTTTATTATTGTTTTTAAACTTGAAGATAAACTAGTCTGAAACACCAATATCTAAATAAGGATAGGGATTAACTGTTTCTTCATATCCCTTCATCATTTTTGCATTTTTCATTGTAGCATTGGATTTGACCCATGTCCCTATTATAATGATAAAAACAGATAGGAACTTGACTTAGATTAGAATTCTGACATGCCTTAACTATGGGGGCCTATCTCAGCTATAGCTGTCACTTATATATACTGTACTGTATATAGGACTGCCTAGGCAAGCTTCCAAGATTCTGAATTTCTTCTCCGAGTTTGACTGCCCAAATTACCTGGCCTTGTTAGAGGAGCCATAATGATGCATTAGGACTTTTCTATTATTCTACTTCTCATTACTGGATTTTATATATCGTACAGAAATGCAGAGTTGTGCTATACTAATCATAAGAAACTCTTTTCTGCTCCTGTACTCAAATTTTCTATCGTAACAATAATTCAAATGATAAACAGCTGGTAAATCTACCAGTGTGTATTGATAAAACACAGTCCCCTGCAAAAAAAAAAAAAAAGAGTCAGATGAAAGTACTTTTTATCAAGATGTAATTCAGTTCTGATCATCACAATATAAAAAAGATGTTGAGACTCTGGAAAGAGTGCAGAGAACAGCAACAAGAATGATTAGGGGTCTGGAGGCTAAAACATACGAAGAAAGGTTACAGGAATTGGTTATGTCTAGGGTTATGTCTACTGAAAAGAAGGACTAAGAGAGTCTTCCAATATTTGAGGGGCTCCAACAAACTATTTGAGGGGGTCAAACTATTTTCCAAAGCACTAAAAATGCAAGACAAGAAACAATGGATGGAAACAAACCAAGGACAGAAACAATCTAAAACTAAGG